CCGGAAGACCCACACCAGCCATCGTATGCCGGCCGTGAAAGCCTTCGACAATACAAAAACAACTGTGTCTAAACAGAGAGAAATGTATTTGAGGTAAATTATACTGTCTTTAATAGCTGTGCAGAAAGGAAAGGATTTTTTTACCCTTATTTGATAAGTCAAGTCTGTCATAATTCCTTCTTCTCTATTTTAATATCATACCTTTCATTTGCAAAGTCCAGAAAGTTAAACTGGTTTAAAGCCAATTTAAATCCCATTTGGCTATCTGTAGCTTTGTAAATATTTAGCAGTTTTATTACTTCAGGATCAGCACTTTAAGCAACTGAGGTGGTAACACTACCGAGGCATCCATGACAGCAGTTATAATTACTGCTTACTATGTTCTCCATGGTAATGTGTTAAATGCAAAAAGTACATTATATATTCATTATAATACAGGTGATTTTTGGAATATGGATTCCTTTTTATTTTTCAGCTATAAATAAATTATATGTACCAATTGGCAGAGATTAGGCATCCATTTGGTAATAAAATGTAAAATGAATTCGTATGCCTGCATAAAATGAATTTGCTACCCTGCATTTGTGCAGTATTTTAAGTGGCTGTGGTTCAGATTCTATTGGTATATAACAACTTTCTAGAGAACATGTTTAAAAAAAAAAAAAGATTGTTACTCCAGATTTTTGGCTAGCAAAATTGAGAGTAAGTGCTCATTCATTGTATGGAAATCCAATCTTATCACTAACCTAAAACGGAGCAATACAAGGACCACACCATATAATGTCTGGGGCTACAGAATATATTAAGCCATAATGTAATTAGTTGGGTTTTTGGTAGGATGTTGTGTGAATTGAGCCATGGTCCATAAACTGTGGTCTACAGCTTAGTGCAACACGTGTTTAGATCTATCCTCATGGATCTACTCAGTAAGCTAAAACAGATTGTATTACAACATATGTTCAATGCCAGCAGCATTATGAGATAGATAGAAAAGGGTAAGAGACACTGGAATACCAAGTTCTTCCCCCAGCAACTAAACCCACTAAATCTGCCTTTCTGGAAAATCAAGCTCAGGCAATTAATAGTTAGGGAGTCAACAGATACACACTAAGAACTCATTTAATTTTAATCATTCACATAAAACCTTGCCAGTATAGAATTACCACATACAAAGTTTTACATATAATGTGGAATAGTTATTTGAGAACAAAGTTTCTTTCCTGTAAATATACATATTTGAAGGACCACCATAAATAATACAAATAATCTATAATAGCTAGAGAACTCCGGTTAAGTTGCTATCTGCAAGCATTTATTTTTTGCTCAAAGTATATGCAAGCATTAGACAAACTACTGTCTAACTGTACTGGCTTACTCAGTAGAATCTTGTTGTGATTTGCTCATTTGCATTAGTATTTGTGTAAGAGGGAATATGTTGCAAGTTGAAGAAAAGATAAGAATGCAGCGGTACAATGCAGGCTTTATTTCACTTCTTATCATGCACCTGACCACAGAACATTATCCAGTGCTAACACTGGTTTGCAGGGGGCACAGATGATGCTTGTGCAAAATGAAACATGCAAAATTCAACTGCCATTAAATAAGACCCAACCCATATTTAATACTAACACTTTAAAAGGTACCCTTAGCCTCTGAAAATCTCTATATTCAGGATTTTCTCTGAATAGATCAGTATGTTCTGCAAGATCAAGACTACACTTATTTTAGCCACACAGGTGCCACGTGTTGTGTATCACATCACAGAACACTTGCTTCTCAGTTTATCCTTCTTTCGCTGCTGCTTTGATTTCTTGCCATCTACCTGCAGACTTACATTTCTTCTCTTTTCCAAATTAAGGAGCTCTTCAAAAAGCTCCTGCACATTGTAGTTCATTTTAGCTGATGTCTCCATGAAGGAGCATTTCCATTTAGTGGCAAGGACTTCTCCTTCACTGGTGCCCACTTCTCTCTGGGTGTCATCACTCTTGTTTCCTACCAGCATAATTGGGACTTTCTGAATGTCTCCTTTGATCTGACAGATCTGTTCATAGATTGGTTGAAGCTCTTCTACTGACTGCCTGCTGGTAACCGAATACACCAACATGAATGCATGGCCTTTAGAGATGGAGAGTCTCTGCATGGCAGGAAACTGGTGGCTTCCAGTGGTGTCTGTGATCTGAAGAGTACAGATGTTTTTGTCACAGCTGATCACTTGGCGATAAGTATCTTCAACAGTGGGGATGTATGTCTCCCGGAAGGTCCCCCTTATGAAACGAAGTACCAAAGAACTCTTACCAACACCAGCAGCTCCAAACACAACAACTCTGTAATCATTACTTTGCTCTGGCATCCTGCTTGTTCAGCTGGGAAACAAAGAAGAATCCTGAATTTACATGCCCCTCGGTGAACAGGCCTGTCAAGGGAAAACAACAAGTTAGGTATGAGCAACTAAGGTTCCAACTTGCAATTAAATTCAACAACACCCTTCCTTCTAAAACCTTAAACATCTTCTATATTATGAGCAAGGGATATGGTGTATAGGGATGACCCTGCCATTAGGCAAAATGAAATGGCAGATAGATACTGGGAAGAATCACCAAAATATGAGAGAAAAAAACCTGAGAGACACGTAGCCCACTCTATACCCCCTACTACTAGTCCACATCTTCTAAAGTAGATGCCATCCCATTATCACTGTGGGAGACAGTTTTAATTGCAAGTCCAGCTAGCTTTTCTAGATGAAATTATGCCATCTGTTCAGGCAACAGAAATCTCAAACCATTCTTGAATGTTAGAAAACCACAAGTTTCACTTTGTAGGTGCACTGTTTTGTAAACACTGGGATATCTAACTCACTTGCAGCTAGACGTTCCTCCTTCAGGAGAAAAAGGATAATTGCCAATCAGAATGGAGATCAGCCAGCTCTCCTCACTACAGTATTGTTCTTCTCTCTCCAAGTAACTCATACACATGAGCTGGTGCAAAAGTTTAATGCTACAATGTCCCCTTGATATAGCTTTCCTTTTCCCAGCTATCATCTACTCTATATGGATGAGCTTTAAAGCTTTAGCAAGAGTTAAATCTTTTGGAAAAGAGACCCATAGTTAAAACTTAAATACTGCTCAAAGAATAGGAGATGCTTTAGACTTAGAAACTACTAATGCTTAAGGAAAAGAACTGTTGGGGATTTTATCCAACAGTATAGATTTGCCAGCTATGTACAGTATAGGGGTGGAAGCCTCTCATAGGGGTCTTGTGCTCTGAACATCTTCATACCAAGACAAAATTCAGTAGATTGCATTTATAATCATCCAATGATCATTTGGAGAAATGCCATTGCTCTCAATGGCCTAAAAACCCTGCTTCCTAAACTTGTCAGTTCTAGTCTGTATTTCCTATACAATATTTTCTACAGGATGATCCCACCCCGGCTAAGTTTTGGCAATTCTGTACTTATAAATCACTGTACTCTGTCATGACAATTGAGCTGAACTGAACAATGCAGTGAAAAATGTAGGATGTGAAAGTCCAGAATTTGAATCCTAACTCAGGGCCTTCCCCCACTATTGAAGTACAGCATTGTCCACCATCCCTGCATCAGCAGAAAAAAATACCAGCATGAAATCTGGTGTCTCCACTGCCAATGCCTACCTGCTTCTATTCCTAGGCAATGTCACCCACCAGATAATAGGTGACAAGGCTAAAAGATTTTACCTACCTGGAGGCTCTCCTTGTAAAGTGCCAGAAAAATTGGGGAAAATATTACTTTAATGCTGATAGCTAAGGGTGACTTAAGCTTTTCTCATTCATGAAGACAACATTATGGAGACACAGCAAAAACAAAAAACCAAAAATGGTTGTCACCCAAGTGAAGACACAGTTTTAGCTGAATCCAAGAACATGTTGATTAATATTGAGGAAACCATGCTTTTTAAGACACTTTTTCCCAACTTAATGCTCTCCAGAGATATTGGAATTGCAGCTCCCACAATTTGGACTTGGTGTGAGAGAATTCTGGGACTGCAATTCCACACACTGGAAAGGTCTATAGTTTAGCCAGTCTTCACTATCCCGAGCCTTTTCTTGATGTGCTGAATGTAATTTCCAGGTAGCATAACTACAGTAGAGGATTCTGGTAGCCAAAGTCCACACATTTTTAGGGCAATCAAGTAGGGGAAGTTTGCTCTAAATTCACAGGAAACTGCCTTATAGTTGTTCAGACTATATGTTAATCTAGCCCAATTTATCCAAGGGTTTCCAAAGTTTCAAACACAATTCCTTCCCATAACCAGCTTTTTGTAATTGGACAAACCAGAGATTAAAGCTGGGAACTACTACATGTTCTTAAGGCTGCCATATTTGGGCTACAGAGACTGATATAACTGAAGGGTAGCAAAGACTTAGTTTTCTGTCCTATAATGTGGTTTGTTATTTTAATCCTCGATATACAAACCTACCCATTACAGCTTAGGGTTACATGAAAACTAGGTTTATAAAAGGTAAACAGTACCTAGGCCTAGAGCTAAGCCTGACTCCTGATGACTACATAGATACAACCCTGCAGTCATGTTAGCAACAGGATGGAAGTGATTTGTGGCTCCCACCTTTGGGAGACTATAGCTGTAGGATTCACTCCCTGGTGGCCACCCATCCAACTACAAACCAGGCCCAGCCCTGTTTAGCTATATGACTTGCTGGTAAACCACATTTAAAAAAAATAAAAATGCACTGCAGGTCAATTCTTCCAGAAAAGAAGTGGGTGGAGGAGACACCACAACCTCTGATACTAACACCTCATCCTCAAGCACAATATTAAATGTTCATAAAATTAAGTTTCTCAGAAACGAAGAGGAATTTCCTCCCAAGCAACTGGGCTGAAATACAAAGAGTTTATAGACACCCGCATAGTGTGTGTTTGTGTCTCTCCCCTCCACCCCCGCCCCGTTTTTCGCTCACACCCGGAGTTAGCGCCATCAAAAAGGGAGAGCGGGAAGAACGCCCAACATCTAACCCGGGTCAGCTTGGACTCCAGTGGGGGCAACGCACAACGGAGGCAGAGATCTGTCCCACCATCCTCCAGCCGAGAGTAAACAACACGTGTTCTTCCATCCCAGCACCTGGGGAGTCAAGAAGGCCTGCCGACAGCTCGGTAGACCAAAGAGCGAGGCAGCTTCGGAGCGGGTAGCCCAGCAAAACCTACACACGCACCCACACCAACCTCGCGGCCAGCCAGAAAGGAGGTGAGCGATGTCTCGCGCCTAGGAAATCAGGGTCCGGCTTGTTTTCGCCTCCGCGCCTGCCAGAGGCTGGGGAGGCCAAGCGCTCTCCCCACGACCGGGCGTTGGCAGGAGAGACACTCCCTGAAAATGTGCTCCTCCGGGGAGCTCGGGCAGGGAAGCACCATCACGCCCCAGGAGAGGGTAACTTCGCGGAGCAGCCCCTCCCTGCGCGGTATCAGGTAAATATCGGTATTTATTTACCCCGGCGGCGGCTGCAACAGCCTCGCTTTTCTCCGCTGGCCAGCCCCCTCTTCTCCAGCTCCGTACGGAAAGCGGAGCGGGCGGCCAGGGAAGAGATCAGCCCTGTGTCACCTTCCCGTTCATTCATTTTTTCCATGGAGTGGAACATCCCATTCGCATGCAGCTAGAGTATAACGATTATCATTAGCAGCAGCAGCAACAATATAATTAACCATTAAAAGGATCCAAACCTGGGGAGAAGAGAATGAAAAACAAAGCAAAACCCAGATTAAAGAGAAAGAGCTTCGTGGGGAACCTTTTCTCCGTTCAGAGTGTCTGCGGGCGGGGAAGATTCCATTCCTGCTTCGGTTGAAGTTCTTCGGGTGGCGGAGGGACGAAGCGGCGGCTGAGCTTTTAAACCTAAGGTCGGATGGAAAGAAGCAATTAACGCGGGGTCTTCCAGCAGGCGACGCCCCCCTTCCCTGTGCAGCGGGCAATTTCTCTGGTGCGCCAGCGCCATACTTTGGTAAGTGCTGCACCAGTTGAATTATCTGCTTGGTCATTCACTGTTAAAAGCGGAAGTACAATCACAGGAATGAAACTGCAGCCGCCTTATTTTTTTTAAGTGTTCTTTTTAAATAATAAAAAGGTATCTAAAATACTTCCTCTTCTGAATTCTTGCAGCCATCCCAGATGCACGTTTTAAAACGAAATGTTAACAAATCTGGCAGATCCTAGAACAACATTTAAGCACCGCTGCGCTTGAAAAAAGACAGGGGCTGTGTTCCCATGACATACCCATGGTTAATTTAACCAGGATTTAGTGAAACCATTTTACTAGGTTCACAGCACACTGAACAATGTATTCACAACATGGGCAGGGCTTGCACAACCTACTAGACTAAAATGTGTTTGACTAGTTTGTGGTTCAGTGTGTCATGCAAACACAGCTGGTGTGGTGTAACAAACTGCATTAAGGAGTTTATCTTGAGTTCCCAGGGTTCATGAAGCAACATGTGTTGTTTTCTCAGCAGCAAGGCAGCAGTGCCTTCTTCCAGGGTATTTTTCAACTTCCCAGTTAACTCAAAAACATGGGATTTCCTAGAGGTCTCCCATCCCAGTTCTAAACCTGCTTAGCTTGAGCTCAGTCAAAGTCAGTTAAGTGCTGCCATCTGCTGTGACCACATTAGGAACATCTTCAACACCAAACTCATCCACTACAAGGTTCACTGGGTGACTATCAGAAATCAGAAGGAGTCTGGTAGCGTCTTTCCAGATAAAGACATTTTATTAAAAGGCATAAGCTGTTGTGACCCATAGCTCACTTTGTCAGAGTAGCTGAACTGATGTACTTCTGATTTTTGGCTACCACAGACTAACATGGCTCTCCTTCTGCAATGTCTACAGTGGGTGACTATCAATCAAGTTTAGGAACCACCCCCTCTTCCTATCTACATAGGCTGGGAATTCTGAAAGTTGTAGGGATGACACATTGGGAAGGCCCCAGGCTGGAGAAGGGTGAACTTTGGACCTTTTTTCCCTCTCCCTTTGTTCTTCACTTATTATTTCTATATCAGTAACATATGTAGCATTTCTCAGGTGCACAGAGAAAAATTAGATTTTGAGGTCTAACATGGCTACGGAGCAGAAGGAAGGGAAAACCACAGCAGAGAATGATAAATGTGGGCAAATACAGGCATGCATATAGAAAGTTTGAGTATATTTAGAAGGAGATAAATCAAAGGCTGGCCAGAAGACAATCAGCATGAAGAAATGAGTTCAACCTCATTGATTGATTGATAGATAGAACCAGTTGAAATAGGAGCCGGTCTGCTTTCTCAGTGAGGATATGTCCACAAATAATATAGCAAAAAAGATTAAAATGAAAGGTACAGATGATCAATATCTGTAAAAGTGGGCAAACATTTGAGGCACAGCTTTTCCACCACAAAAACACATGTATCGACCAGAAGAGCAACATCTGTAGATTTTCTGCTTGTCATGTTGCAGGTGATCCTATATATCATAAACAATACTCCCTCCAAATTACCCTGAGCTGGTAGGAGTGGAGTGCTATTGCTAAACAGCATATTTCCCTTTAATTCTTACTCATGGATTATTTATTTGCATTTAAAAAGCAGACAGATTAATTACAGATCTGTATCTTGGCTTGATTTTCCATAGTTTTCTATTATTTATTATTCAGGGCAGCTGCACTTCTTCAGCTACTAAAAGCAACATGTTTAGTTGTATTTCCCTAAAGTGTAGATATGCTATATCCATATTATTTCCTCCCTTACTATCCCCAGGCTAGAGAAAGACAATGTAAAATTTCTGGCTCTGCTTCCATTTATGTATTGCAAAACATACATCCAGACTTAGGCACTTCATTTAAAGGCAGAGATTAGCAATTTTCTTTGTAGGGCGCATCCATTTTTTAAAAAACTTAGTAGTAAACCATTGCTGCAGGTTGGGACTGCTTGCCTTTCTAATTGGCCCACCTCCTATGCTTTAACAGCTGCCTGACATGCAAAAATTACTATACAAGGGAAGAATTGCAGGCCAATATGTTGGAAATTATGGGAAGGAATCCTAACCTAGTTTGTCATTATTTGCATATAGGTAGTCCCCAGTTTAAGAATGAGTTCCATTCCCAAGGTCTGTCCTTAAATCAAATTTATATGTAAGCCGGAACAGTATTATTTTATAATACTGTATTACTGTGTAATGAACTCGAACCATTGTGTATTAACCAAATCATTGTATATTTAACTTGATTTTTGCTGCAATAGGCTCTGTTCTTAACTATGGGTCATCTGTAACCCGGGCTTATTTAACCTGGGGACTTGCTGTATTTGTTTGCTTGTTAAAATCAGAAAGAAAAATATAGTTACCATTATACTATTATATAAGGTTACTTGGGAATGGAACTCATTCTTAAACTGGGAACTACCTGTATGCAAATAATGACAAACTAGGTTAGGATTCCTTCCCATAATTTCCAAAATATTGGCCTGAAATTCTTCCCTTGTATGGTAATTTTTGCATGTCTGGCAAAATGGCTGTGTGGGGTATAATCAGGGGGATCACATCTTGGTATTCTTGGCGTCTGCAGGAAGAACCAAGAGCTGTCCACAAGAGTTTAGAAAACAGTGCTAATCAACATAAACAACTAGTGTGCAGGAGTCAGATTCAGCGCAGGAAAGGTGCATTAGATCAGAATATCCATATAACCCTTAATGGGTCCCCCAACCTTTGGGGCAGTGGGCACATCTGAAATTTTGAGACATGCCATGGACACTTTGCTAAAGAAGATGCTTGAGTGGGCTACTAAAGTGAGCATGGCTGTTCACAAAACAGCCATTTACCTGGAGGCTAACTGGTGAAGTTGGCTCAGCCACCTTCTCTGAGCAAAATGTTTTCTACCTACTCAGCTTATATGTGTCTTTTTCTCTGAGCAGGTGAAACTAATCACAGAAGTCACTCACTCTTTTTCTAAGAATTCCTATAGGGAATCTGGAAATATTCTTAGAAACAGATTATTCTTGGAAATACTGGAACTTGATAGTGTACCTGCTTCCTATAAGATTTCTTTCAATTAAAGTAATAATAACAATATTATAAAGTCAGGAGTGGCCTGGCAGACACCAAGTGCAATCTATGTGTTAATTGATGAATGGGAACTATGTGGAAGACACTCAGATGATGTCTACTTCTTTTCCAGTATTTCTACTGGTGGTATATAAGAAAAAGTTAACGTTCAATAGTTAGTTGTTGATTCTTCCCACTGCTAAAACATCCTACTATTAGAAAAACTATTGGTGATGGAAGATTGTATGAATGCTTAATAGGAAGTGATTTTGTCTAGTCACACATGTATTCCTCCCTAATAAGCTGACCTACTATTGTAGCACCAATCTATGCAGAGGCAGAGGTATCAAAGTTCTTTGAATTGATTGGATTTTATTGGAGATTGCATCATCTCCTTTCACCTATGGGCAAATGGAAAGATATAGATAAGGGAAAGGGCCCCCACAGGTGGTCCCTGTTTCTCACCTGGTTTGTTAAATAAGCATTTGTGTTTAGGGGACAAAAGGGAATGTCCTAATTAGTTAAAATTCTCTTCTGCTCAGCTAGAGGCAACAGAAAAGCTGATCCATGGAATGTAGTCAACAGGTTCCATAGGAGAGAAAGGAGAAAGTATGGTGACTGCACTGCTAAATATTGTTCAGTTGACTCTTTTCACTTAAGAGAACAGTGTGGGAGAGCAGTTAAGTTATTGGATTAGGACATGTGAGACCCAGGTTCAAGGCCCTAAGCCAGTCACTCTGACTCAACCCAACTGCCTTCAGGGGGTTATTATTCTGGGAATAAATTGAAAGGAGATGCCCATATAAGCCATGCTGAGTCCTGGGGAAAAAAAGGTAATAAATAAATACATTTCTCAGTCTTTACCATCTGTAGTTTCATATTGCAAAATTAGGAATGGTGACAGGATAAGCAAACATGGTCACTCCTTAGACAGCATTCGAGGGGTTATTTATTCCTGCAAATGTTGCAGCTTAGAAATGCAATGCTCTCAGTTGTAGTCATTTATGCTTATTAATTCTGTGCCCAAATCTGTTTTGCAGTTTCCTAATGTTTTCTTCCCCTTCTATTTTTCTATGTTATTCCCAGGAATTAGACTTCCTTTAGGTGGTGTGCTTTGACCTCTATTGTTACAATATAGGGTGTTAATTTCTCCTGGTTTGCAGCCTCCCTGGTTCTTCCTGTTTCCTCATCTGAAACAGCCCAAAGGAAAGAGATTCTTGATTATGTCTTCTTTGGGATTGAACAGAAGCACGGTCATCCAGGGAGGCTGAGACTGCTGAAGAGTGGATGGTACAATGAAACACTTTTTATTTATTTTTTTCGTCCAATTAATGAGGATGGGGAGAAATGCTGATAAAATGATTGATACTGCACTGTTGTAGACCTTTCACTTTCACTATAGCTCTGAGAGCTATAGATTCCCAGCATATGTGGCTTCAGAATAGCGTTGATTGAAGTCTTCCTGCTGCCTTAGGAAAGTTCTCACTGTTAGCAAAAGAACTCTTGGATCTGTCCTCATTACACTGAATGTATCTAGTGATTCTGTATCCAAGAATGCTCATTTTTAATAGTCAGTCCTTTTGTATGGGAGGGAGTTTTTCAGCTGCAATTCCCAGCTGGCTTGTGTTGGAGGGAAAACACCAACCTTCAATTAACGTTCAAAAGACAGCACAAATGTTCAGTAGAAAACTGAAAATGGAGACTACTGTAAGTAGATGGGGGAAAATGGAAACTATAATGGGAATTTAACTGCCATTTTAGTTTGAATTCTAAGCCTGTTCAGCCCAATTAAATTCCTGAGATGTGTAAAGATAGTACAAAACAATTAGAGTAAAAGGCTCCAAAACAGAATTATTTTTCTTTTTTATACTACAGTCTTTAAAGCACCCAAGAGCTGGCAGCATTTACTGAATGTTGCTTCTTTCCCTGCATGCTCCAACTGCTACTTCATTGGCCTTGAGTGGCTGCATTATCAAGAACATTAATTTTAAAAGCTAGCTTACTTTAAACATTAACTTTGTAACAGGTATTTTTCAGGGCTGCATATAGCAAAACTGTGGCTT